CAACTGCACTGCCAAACTGCACAGCTGTTCCAGAAGAGTGACCTGCCAATGCGATAGACCAAGCTACCAACAAGGCTCAGAGAATATGGGTCAAGTCTCTCACAGCCAAGCCGCAGGCTGTTCACTCCAGCAAAGAATTTGAAACTGCACAGGTTGTAGCTTGAGCCAGCACAGAGTTAACTGATCTCTACATGTCACTCTTCCCTGAGGGTGGAAAACAGCTCCTGCCTGCACTTGGCACTAACTTAGGGCAAGAAGGGAGTATTTGAGCACAGTGGTGGGATAGAGGGAGGATGGCAGAGAACAACTGCTCGCCAGCAAACCCAAGCAAACAGTGTGCTATGTAACTACTGCAGCCTAAGGGCCCAGCCACAAGAGAAGGTGACGGTAGGCACAGGAGGTAGCCCTGGCTGGCTGGGGGAGAGGTGAAGACCAGTTTAACCTGGCTTTGCCACATTGCACCTGGCTAGGTTTATGCAACTTAGCACCAAATTCTCACTGGAGTTTCCAGATTAGGAAAAATATAGTGGAGCTTCATAATGTGCTGCCCAAGCTTGTGGGCAGTCACGTAGCCCAGGCAGCTGCACTCTTCCGCTCACACCCAAGCCTACCAAGAGCAGGCCTCGTGGCACTATCAGCCAAAATCAAGGTCTCCTCCTCTGCAGACTTTGCTTGGCTATGGGCACAGTGGATGCTTGGCACTATCCTCCTCTGGGCTCTAATGTTACCATTTCCTTTGACTACTGCTGGTGCTGTCAGTCTTATGTCTCCCCCACCCTTCAGTGGACTGAAGAATAGAGGGGAAGTGGATTCGAGAAAGAAAAAAAAATGAAAAAAACATGAGGGGTAGGAGAAAGAGGGTGATAATTCTGGGACAGTAGGGTAGGGAGCATGAGTCAGTGAAGGAGCAAGGAATGGATGAAAAGAAAAGGGGCTTGGGTAGGAGGGAAGGACAGGCCAGACAGCTTTAAGCCAGGGAGGAACAGGAACCAGAAAGGCCAGAGTGGGATGGAGCCCTAGAAGCTACACCTGGGCAAGCTTAAGGGGGCACTCAGACCAGGCAAGGCTGCAGTGGTCCCAAGCAAGCACCCCTAAGGGCACTCTGTCGCGCGCGCGCACGCACACACACACACACACACACACACACACACACGCACGCACGCACGCACGCACGCACGCACGCACGCACGCACACAGAGCAGTTAATCATTAAAGGTTATACCAAGAATCTGATGAACCCTGTCAGGTCAACAACCACCTTATCGGAAATAAAAAAGAAAGAAAGAAAAACAAACATGACTGCAGCACTCCCCATTGCTTCCTCCCAGCATGTTTTTCAGACAATCAAAAAACCATGCAAGCAGTAACCTGAATGCCAGTCAGCCAAGCCATCCATGATAAGGTGTTGCCAGGTTGCGTCCTCTGCTACAAAGGGGCACAACCCAGATGCTGACTCAAAAAGGGGAGTTTACAGTTTATTTACATAAGACAGTCCTGGAAGGAGAACTAGCAGCACCACAGGAGAGAGCAGGCTTGAAACCAGGAGGGAATGAATACAGCTCATGAAACATGCCCCATTCAGCTAGTTTGGGTCTCACAATTTTTTTTCCAGGGAAGAAGTAGGTTAGTGAAAGTAATATTTTTTTGGGGTCATCTACACCACTTTTCATCTCCAGACCCAGTTAGGGTGACTGTAAGCACCTGCTTCAGAAAGAGCAAAAAGCAGAGGTTAAGTCAAAGCAAATGTGAGGCAGCTTCAGAAAAAGAATTCAGGTGTCCTGGCTCCTAGCTTTGTGCTCCGACCTCTAGACCACAGCATCCCCCCAAAGTAGGCTGCTAAACCTCTTCTCTGTCAAAGCCTCAGGAACAAAATGTCTCAAAGAATGCTAAAACTGCCTCTCTCGACTCGGTGGATCCTCCAGAGACAGCCCAGCTTCATCCAAATCTATGCTGTGCTCAAAGCCGGTTTATTGCCCAGTCTTGCCACACCTCAAAAATTGCTGCTAATTTTCCCTTAAACTGGATTTTAAAATGGAAAGCAAAGCAAGCCAAGTAGTGACCAAGATTCTTTCCCATCTTTTTCTAGCATCATCAACTATATATACCCTTCAGGGCAGAAAGACAGGTCCTGAATCCAATCTGAAACAGGATTGACAACTTAAGCAGACGGACGTATTTGTTCCACAGACCAACAGCCAATACTTGGATCAACAGGGACAGTAAGGCCAAAAACTGGGCCCTCAAGTGGGACTTGTCTGGCTCGGTGTTTCCATGGTGGTCCCCCAATAGCTCTGGTAAGCACTGCTGTACAATCAGTCCATCAATCATGATAAAACTGACTTTGCAGCTGAAGTCTCCTTTGCTAGCACTGGAGGGTGCTTATGTGGAGGCCGGGGTTTTGGGTTTCTTTTTTTTTTTTTTTTAATTATTATTTCTGGAAACTCTTCCAACACCTATGTAAGCCCGCTGCATTAAACACGCATTCTAAATATTACGCAGTCCAGGCAGCAGTAGTGAAGCTGTTGGGAAGGTCATTGGTGACCTAAGGGACTATTTTTAACTTGCTACCTTGGCAAAGTAATTGAAACTAGTCCATGCTCTCCTCTGGAAATGTGACAATGCTGTTCTTTTTATAGGACTTATTTCTATTAAGTGGCTCCCTTCAGGTTAAACAGATTGGAGCAATAAAAGCCCAAAGATCTATGCTGTTGGCTGCTACCTCTGTGGTTTTGGCAGTAGATAGCACTGATATCTGTGTTCTACACACACAAGCATAGGCGACTGGTAGGGAGGGCAAGGGGGGTGGGGAGGGAGGAGGAGGAGGAGGAGGGGACAGGGACTGCAGGGACATCCCCACTGCTGACACCACTGGCGGCTTCTGCAGGTGCTCACCAGCCCCGTCCCCGCCACTGCCACCGGTTTCTGCAGGTACTCACGTTTTTGCGGTTCCCCCCCCCCCCTGTGCCCCCTCCTGCCAGTTCAGCAGGTGCCCTCCCAGACTCCCAGCTGCCTATGCACATGAGGTGGGGAAAAAAAAGTAAGGACTCCCTCAAGGATCTCACCACCACCACATGTCCTGCCCCTCTCAAGAGTCCTATCTAACCTACAGATGCTGCTTGGAGTAAGTGTGAAAGATGCCTCAGGAAGGAGGACAGAAGGATTGGGTCCAAAGCACAGGTGGTCAGAGAAAACTGAATTAAGTAAGAATTGAGAAGAGGAATGGAGGCAGTCAGAGGAGGGCTGCTGGGGCGGCCAAAAGAGCTGCTAAGGGGTCAAGTCCTTTTATTAAAATATTTTATGTATATCCTCTGACTTCTCAGGCTGGATACAGAGCTCCTTATCTCCAGCAAGTTTTA